TGTGTGTGTGTGTGTGTGTGTGTGTGTGTGTGTGTGTGTGTGTGTGTGTGTGGTGTGTGTGGGTGCACACATGATGCACATATGTGCACACAGCACTTGTGGAAGTCAGCAGACAGTTTACAGGAATCTGTTCCCTCCTTCCACCATGTGGGTCATGGTGATTGAACTTAGTTCCATGTGTTTGCTGGCAACTGCTTTAATCTACTGAGCCATCTTGCCAGTCCTTAAATGTCAGTCTGCAGTGCAAGTGGTGTGTGTGTGTGTGTGTGTGTGCACGCACATGCTCATTCATGTGTATATACACTTGTGCTAAGATGGAATTGAAGAGGCTGTTAATCCCTCAGAGGTAGAGCTGTAGGCATTTGTAGCATGTCTGGCTTGCGGGTGCTGGGATCTGACTCTAGTCCTCAATACTGTGCTGTGCAGCCAGCACTCTTCACTGCTGTAGTCTCTTCAGCTTTCTTTTCTGGTTTCTATGTATTCCAGTACTCCAGCCCAGTGAGTGGGATGATTCCACCTACATTCACCCTTACAGACATACTCAAAGATGTGTTTCACTAATAATATACACATTGGTTGGTTGGTTGGTTGGTTGGTTGGTCTGTTTTTGTTTTTCCTTCTTTCTTTTTTTTTTTTTTTTTTTGGTTTTTTTCGAGACAGGGTTTCTCTGTATGGCTCTGGCTGTCCTGGAACTCACTCTGTAGACCAGGCTGGCCTCGAACTCAGAAATCTGCCTGTCTCTGCCTCCAAGTTCCCAAGTGCTGGGATTAAAGTCGAGTGCCACCACCGCCCGGATTGTTTTTGTTTTTCAAGACAGGATTTCTCTGTGTAGACCTGGCTGTCCTGAAACTCACTCACTCTCAGATCCACTTGCTCTGCCTCCCCAAGTGCTGGGATTGAAGGCATGGGCTACCACACCTATAGGGTAGCCTAGTCTCTTTTTAGTCCTGCTTTGGCAGATTTTTTTTTAAATTTTTATTTATTTATTTATTTTTATGTGTAGTAGTTTATTTTTATTTTAATGCTTTTTTGAGTTTTTTGTTTGTTTTGTTGTTGTTATTTTTGGGTTTTTTTTGTTTTTTTCTCTTTTTTTAAATTTATAATTTATTTTTTCTCAAATTGTAATTCATTCACACAGGGGTTATAAACACAGAAAGGCAGGATGTGGGGAAGGGAATGACACTGGAGTGTGGGTGTTCAGGGGGAATACAGATATCTTCAGAACCGGGTATTGGCTGGGTGAAGGTTCAGGGGACAAGTCACTATGACTCTTTGGTTGAATTTTAAACCTGTAAAAAGCTAAATCATTTTCTTTTCTTCTTTTCTTCTTTTCCATTTCCTTCTTCTTCTTCTTTTTTTTTTTTTTTTGTAGTGCTCAGGCTCTAAACTCAATCCACTTTTCTTACTTTGTGTTTTGTTTTCAGACTGTTCAAGTGATTGTCCAGGCTCGACTTGGAGAAAAGATTTGCACCCGATCATCATCTTCCCCAACAGGTTCAGATTGGGTAGGTAAATTTCTATTCTTTACTAATGGGTGTGCATACACTGTGGTGTTTGTCAAAAGGAATGAATGTAAGATGTCCTACTGCCATGTGAGGCACACTGCTCATAGAGTTGCTAAGTCATTTGACCAATTCTTATAGAGAGTACGTAAATTCTTCATAAAATTAGTCTCCTATTCATTTGGACCTTGATTTTCTGTTGTAACAGATGGTAAAATTTAGTACTTAGGAGATAAAATAGTATCTTGGTTGCTAATCTATATAGAAAGTAACCTTTTTAGCCTTATGCTGCCCTTTGTCCTCTTCTCCTCAGGGTGGCCAGGCCCATTGGGCACTGAGCTGGACTGGAGGGAGGGAAGCTTATGGGGAGGAGGTAGGTGCAGTACAGGATCTTGGTCAGCTGAGTGCACAGGCAACGAATGCTCCCAGAACAGCTTCGAAGAACTGCTTCATTTATTAGTGTCAAGAATGGAGTTTTTATGCCCCTGGGGAAGTGGCCATGGTCTTTAGGGCAAAATTTATTGGCCACGTACCATTGGCCATGGCAGGGGTGTTGGAAGATGCTCCATCTACATACTCAGGGGCTGTAGAAAGGGCAGGGACCTCAAAAAGTTAAACAAGGAGTGAAGCCTTCTAACTGTCAGGGTAATAAATTCTTACTAAGGCAGATGGTGAAGATGCCATCTTTATGGCACCAGATTAAGAGCAGGAAGACAGCCAATCCCTGTCATCCTCATGTTTGGGCTATCTGTGGTTGAAGCCTCCTTGACCATCCTTCCTCCTTAACCCTGCACCATTATTGTCCCACATCCTGAGACTTGAAACTCAATACAAACTTTCCCATGAGGAAGGAAGAAGTAGCTTAATGTTTTTAATACTAAAGCAATACCTGCATCCACTACTCTGTTCCCTTAATACTCCTTTAGAGGGTTTCACACAAAAATTGCTCTTGATTTTTAGTTCAATTTAGCAATCAAAGACATCCCAGAAGTCACCCATGAAGCAAAGAAGGCCCTGTCGGGGCAGCTGCCTGCTGTGGGGCGGTCTATGTGTGTGGAGATCTCACTCAAGACTTCGGAGGTGAGGCCATGGCTGGAGTTGGGGGTCTTCTTTGGGATGCGAGGCTCTTCGTCCTCTGCTTCCAATTCATTTCTAGCTTTATACATGTTCCTTTTCTTTTTGAGTTTCTCATCTTTTTTTTAATTGGGGGTTTTTATTAGTTTATTTTTGTTATGCTGGGTATTAAACCTAGTTATTGCCCATATTTATATAATACAGGAATGTTACAAGGCTGAGGAATTCTGCATTTAATCTTGCTCACTTGTTCAGAATAATATACAGTACAGTTTGGCTAATGGAATCAGCTTAAAAATTTTTACATTTATAATAACTTTTCCAAAACTGATGTCTGTAGAAGTTAGATCTGGTTCTTCCCCTCAGCCCCATGCTCTCAGAAATAAGACTCAGACTCAAAATATGCTTACAGATCCCTTGGCCGTATAGCGAGGCTCTTCTCTGACTAGATTATAACTAAGAGAACCCAGTTATTTTAACCTACTTTCTGCCATGGCTGGTTGCCTGTGCTCAGGCACAGTGCATCTGTCTTGTCACATCTTCCCTAGGTGAATCTCCTGATCTATCCCAGAATTCTTTCTGCTTCCCAGATGTCCCACCTTCTATCTACCCTTTCCTATAGGCCATAAGTTTTTTAATTGACAGGTGATGAATCCATACAATACACAAGATATTCTCTTTATAATTCCCCTTTTTGTTCATATAAATTTAAGGTTGATGTGCATTTTATCTTTTAAATTACTAAGAATATTTCTACTTACTATTATACAAAAACGTACATAGTTGCTATAAAAAAAGTGTCAATTTGGATTTTAGATTATTTGCAATTGGCTTTATTTTATCAGCAAGGGGTCCCACCCTGACCTCATTGTGTAGACCACGCGGGTCTAGAATTTATAGAGATCTGCTTGTCTCTTGTCTCCTGTGTGCTAGTATTAAAGGTGTATGCTACTACCCACTGCCCTGTTCAAATATTTCACCTCAATTCTAAATTATTGTAAGTCTTTAATTTCAAAAGCAACAAGTTTAAACTATAGTGCTATTCTAAATTTACTTAAAATCTCAAGTGATATTGATAGACAAGTAGACAAAATAACATAGAAGGTTGTTATCTGTCTAGCTCTAATGCTTTAAGACTTGCTATATATAAACATAAATGCTTTGTGTCTTTTATTTGGGAACTAAATTATGAAAGGTGGCGTAGAAACTCCCAAATAATATTTACCACGACAGATATCACCTAAAAAATGGTTCCTGTAGAACTGAAGTGAAAGGCTCTCCCGTCACTTGGAAATTTTCAGTCTTTCTAAGGGATGGCTTAGAAAAGGTACACCAAAAGTTTTAGAGCTGGATGTGAAGACTAGTAGTATAGCCTGGGTACATGTACAAAGCCCTGAAAAAAAGGTATTAATACCATGTATTCTTGTCAGGTGTGGTGTCCCCCACCCCCATAACAGCACTAGGGAAGTTGAGGCAGGAGGATTGAAGTTTTTAGCCAGTCTTATATGAGACTCTCGTATGTACAGCCTAAGTGAGCATCAAATTGTCTCAAAAAGCAGAGCCTACGGTTGGTGGTATGGCTCAGTGGGTAAGGTGCTTGCCACCAAATCTGATGATTGGAGTTTCCTCCCTGAATCTGTGTAGTAGAAAAAAACCAACACAGGTACAGTATGGTGCTCTGACTTCAGTACATATACTGTGGCCCCACCCTCACACTAAAACAAATACAGTTTCAGGAAGAAAAGGTGAACTGAAAACCATATATTTTCTAATTCATCTGCTTTAATTCTAGAAATTTGCTTAAAGAGATTGATGATGTATATAAAGACCATGTCTCAATGCATGTTTGTGTGTGTGTATATGTGTGTATATGTTTGTGTGTATGTTTGTGTGTGTTTTTTCCAGCCCTGTTTGTTTGTGACAAAATCTTTGCCAGACCTTGCCTTAAGCTTGCTACACAGCCAAGGTTGACCTTGAACTCCTGATCCTCCTGCCTTCCCAAGTGCTGGGATTGCAGATGTGAACCACTATGCCTTGCCTCAATGCTATTTCTTTTTATTGTAGTAGTAAAAAAAAAAAAGATATAAATATCTCAAAACATGTGAGACTTGGCCGAATAAAATGATAGTCATAGTATAGCGTATAACCATGAACATGGAATGTGGAGATTCTGCTCGTGTAGCTTCACAGTGACCATGAAGCCTGGAGTTGATCCCCAGTATTACAAAAGATAAAATTCAGTCTCTCAATCTTTATTTCTCTGTTTCCCTCTCCTCTCTAATTTTTAGTTTAAAGGAAAATTTCATGTTTGTTGAAAAATAAGATAAAAATGGTACATATAACATGATCCAACTTTTTAAAAAGTTGCTGTTTTTCAGTAAGTTGGGTTTTTCCCTTTAGTTTATTTCTAGTCTCCAATATTTCTTGTGTTTATATGATGATTTACAGGAGACAATTCAGATGGTTTTTGATAATTGAAATGTTTCTTCTGTCTGGTCTGTAGGGAGATTCCATGGAGTTGGAAATTTGGTGTCTTGAAATGAACGAAAAGTAAGTGTTTCTGTTTCAGACTACTTGGTTATGGTGACTGAGGGTAAGCAATGACATCATGTGAAAGCAGGCTTTGTTGTCAGCCACAGAGAGGCATTCTGACCATTCAGCAGAGCTAGCAGGCTTTGCTGTGATTTGCTTCATGGTTGGCTTCCAGCCTAGCACAGAGATGACCTTCAGAGGGGGTGTGTGTCCAGAGCGATACGCTCACGGCAGAGAGAGGAGCTGCAGCATCCCTGCAAAGGATTTCTTGTTTTCCCAGAGTACAGCTTGTTCTCTGATTAAGTCCCCTGTGAGCTCCTGCACCATGACCATTCTGTGCTGTCTTGTTCTGCAAGGCAGCCGTGAGTGCAGTCTCCCACACTGCTCTTCTTACACACTGTGATGGGCTGGAAGCCCATTTTTTCCCCTATTTTTGTTTTTCAAGGCACATTAGCTCACCACCTGCCTGAAGCTTGGGTTTCAAATAGAACATGAGTAGAGTATGGACATTTGTTTTTCTTGAATAGAAAGCAGTTGTCAGATTATTATCCAAAATTTTTGTACCAAGTAAGTTTTTTTCCTCCAAGTTTTCAGTATAGAATTAAATATCTCATAAGACAGGATCTTGAAAATAAGCAGCAGGTTGAGTGTAATTTGCAATATTGTTGGGTTGTTTTTATACTGCTTTTTTTTTAAGTAGATGAAAACATGTGGGTTCTGGTGCTTGCCTGTGTCTAATGCAAGAAGAAGCATGTGCTGGCTTACTTCAGCAGTGTGTTGGTAGAGCTCCACATGCATCTCTAGTTCAGAATGTGTTTTGCAGAGTTGCAGCATTCCAAAGGATAGACTTGGCAGTTTCTTTGTGCTTCTCAGGTGTGACAAAGAAATCAAAGTTTCCTACACTGTATACAACCGATTGTCACTGCTGCTGAAGTCTCTTCTTGCTATTACGAGGGTGACACCAGCCTATAGACTCTCCAGGAAGCAAGGGCATGAATACGTAATTTTGTACAGGTAAATATCAAGGATCTTAGTTTACTTCTCAGCCTCCTTAGAGTGCACATTGTCTGGCATTCAAGTGTTCTGTGATTACTTATGGTATTAGTTCTATAGTTTTGCAACTATCCTCATGAACCTCAGCTTTTCAGAGTCACCAGGCCCACTGTCCTTTTGTTTCTGTACCATTCCAGCTCCTGTGGTATGGATGATGAATTCCTACAAACACACATTCATTCATTCATTCATTCATTCATTCATTCATTCATTCATATTCTCTTTCTCTTTTTCTCTCTTTCTTTTCTTTCCTTCCCCCTCTCTCTCTCTCTCTCCTTCCTTCCTTCCTTCCTTCCTTCCTTCCTTCCTTCCTTCCTTCCTTCCTTCCTTCTTTCACAGTGTCTCACTATGTAGTCTTAGTTGTCCTGGTACTTACTTTGTAGACCAGGGTGGTCTTGAATTCAGAGAGATCCTCCTACCTCTACTTTCCAGGTGCTGGGAGTAAAGGAAGGTGTGTGCCACTAAGCCCAGCCAATTTTAATTTTCTTTAATTTAATTTCTTTAATTTCTTTAATTTTTTTTCTTTAATTTTCTTGCCAGGCATGCTAACATGCCTCTAATCCCATCACTTAGGAGATGAAAGCAGAATCAGGAGTTCAAGCTCATCCTCAGCTGCTTAACTCTATGAGGCCATCCTGGGTTACATGAGAGCAAACAAATAAACTTTCCATGAATGATTAAGTTCCATTTTAGTGCAAGCAGTGTACAAGGTACAGAGGCCCTGTACTTAGTGGTGGGTTATTTTCTTCCTATATAGGGGAGTAGGAGTTGGTATTTTTGAGACAAGTCTTTCCATGTGACCCTGGCGGTCCTGGAATCTGCTTTGTAGACCAGGATGGCCTAGAACCACAGATCACTGACTGCACATGGAGAGGACAGTAGCTGACCAGGCCTAGATGGGCAGGGTGGGGCATCAGATCAGTCCCCTTTTTCTTTACCAGGTAGGCTTGTGGAGAGGGAATATAGTAAAGTGTGGGAGGAAGATAGGGAAGCCAGGCTCCTACATCATCGAGAATGCCTTGTGTTGGGGATGAGCTGTCGATTTTAGCCTTTGTCTAATGTAGAGCTGACCAGTAGGACTACTGTATTAGTATGGAGGGACCGAAGAGAGAATTGCCAGTTATACAGAAGCAAACTTATTGAGAATATTTACCAAGTCATCCTTAACTCTCTTAACAGTTCCCTAATGACCTGTGTATATTTCTTTCTCAGACATCAAGTTGTGTGTTTGTTGAAAATTACTAGACTTTAACTTGGTTATAATAGATTTCTTTTAGTCTTCACTTATTTCTTATTGTGTCTGTTACTTTTCTTGTTGCTATGGCAACAAGAAGCAGTTTAAGGGTGGATGCAATGGCCTTGCCACAGATAAAGGACCTGCCACAGAAGCTTGGGTGTGCTGGCCATTTCTGCATCTCAGCCTATTTCCCTTCTCCCTCCCCTCCCCCCTCCTCCCCTTCCTTTCCTCCTCTCCCTTTTTCTCTCTCCCTCTTTCTCCTCCCTCTCTCTTCTTCTCTCTTCCTCTCCTTCTCTCTCCCTCTCTTTTCTCTTTGTTTTTGTTTTTGAGACAGTTTCTCTGTGTAGCCCTGGCTATCCTAGAGCTTGCTGTGTAGAGCAGGCTAGCCTTGAACTCACAGAGATCCACCTGCCTCTGCCTCCTGAGTGCTGGGATTAAAGGCTTTTATGGGTCATTGTCTTTCACATAACTCTCACCTTATGGTGTTTGTGCCCAGGGCTCAGTTGAGGGAAGTTGTCCATGCAGATGAGGAAAACAGGGCTTGTTTACTCTGTTTCTTTGTTTTAGCTATGGCCTTTGAGAATGTAGAGTGGGTTATCATTTCTTTTTTTCATTCCCTACAGGATTTATTTTGGGGAAGTTCAACTGAATGGCTTAGGAGAAGGTATGTATGCATTCAGGCCAGAAACATTTGTGGTGTCAAGAGCTGTACTAATTTCAGAGATGGGCTCAATTGCTATTTGGATACATGTTATACCTTGTATAACACACCATAACTTTAAACTGTATAATACAGTAAGGAAACAGAAGGAGGCGGGTCAGTTGACAGAGGAGCTACCAAGATTGAAATAATAATTTTTGAGAAGTTTCAGCAGGAACTCAGTATTTGGGGTTTCTCTGTCTCCTCGCCTCTGCTGCCCTTCCTTCCCTCTCCTCTCACCTCACCTCATCTCTCTTTCTCTTTGTCCTCCTGCATGCTAATTAAGCCCTGTGTCATTGACCCAGTGCTTTTTCTTGTGGTTTGTCTTTTGTAGTTTGCCTCTGCCTCAGCCTATGCTTTGTGCTGGGGTTAAAGATGTGCATGACACCAAATCCCGCCTGTCTTTTGTTTTGTTTTGTTTTGTTTTGTTTAAAAAAAAAACAAAACATTGAGTTGGGAGAGAATATATGATAATGTGGAAACACAAGAATGAAGTTGATTTCCTCCTACACGAAGTTAGCAAGTAATGACAGCAGGCTGGCTAGGAGCTGTGTCAGCCTTCTCTGGACACAAGTTGATGTTTCCTCTCTTCCAGGCTTCCAGACAGTTCGAGTTGGAACAGTGGGAACCCCTGTGGGCACCCTCACTCTTTCCTGTGCCTATAGAATTAACTTGGCATTCATGTCCACCAGGTGAGGAAGAGTCTGGGGGTCTGCAAGAGCTTTCCCAAGGATATTAAAGCTCTTGCCTCCCCAGAGCTCCAAGGCTAAAACTACAGTTCATGCTGACAAAAGCTGAAAACCACCCTTTCCAGAAGAATGCATTTGAGAGAGGGAGAGAGCATCAGTGCCATGGTGGAGATTTTAAGAGTCCCCATCCAAGCTGTCCAGAAGTAGAGTCTTATATTTAGAGACTGCAGTGTTAAGGCTCTGGGTAGACCCGAAGAAGCTATGAAATGATGAGCTCGAAGAAATTCTAATAAATACTGCATTGTGCTTATTGCATTACAGGCAATTTGAGAGAACCCCACCTATCATGGGGATTATCATTGATCACTTTGTTGACCGTCCCTATCCCAGCTCCTCTCCTATGCACCCTTGCAATTACAGGTAAGGACTGAGAAGATGGCTCCCCAAGCTTCAGCTAAGCAATAGCGGCCACTGGCCATGTGGGTAGAAATGAAAAGGCTAGTTTGATTTCTGCTGCTGCCTGTTAGGTACACCAAGGCCTGAGCCACAGTATCTAGGAACTTACTGGGTGTTCAGGATCATGGCAGTGATGTCACCTTCTTCAAATTATTTGGGGACTATAAGAATGTCAGGAGTTTGTGAACTATGAAAAAAGGGTTTTAGATTGCCATCTGGCTGTATAATCTCTGCCTAGAACTTGACACGCCTCCCAGCCTTTCCTAGCCACTGTTTGCATACTTTCTGAAGTCGGCTGCCATGGTTATATAAACTCCCATCCTCGTTCCTCCCTCCCTCCCTCCACCACGTTAGAACTGCTGAGGATGCTGGAGTCGCATACCCATCAGTGGAGGACTCTCAGGAAGTGTGTACCACGTCTTTTTCCACATCCCCTCCCTCCCAGGTAGGAAAAGGGTTATGGGCTGTGTGTATTTGTGTGGGCCTTAGGGAATGCTGTCCAAACATAGCTATGCCCTCTGGTGATGAGGTCACTCTAACCTGCATGTGTTGTTTTAGTTGCTTCATTTTTTATTTGGTTTTGGGGTTTTTTTTGTTTTCCAAAATAGGGTTTCTCTGAGTAGCCCTGGCTGTCCTGAACTCACTCTGTAAAACAGACTGTCCTCAAACTCAGAAATCCACCTGCCTCTGCCTCCCGAATGTCTACTACCACTCCTGGCTTACTTTCTTAGTAAGTAAGAAATGTGGCTTCATAGTAGTAGAATATGTACCAAAGAGCCAGTAATTCCTTAATGTAGAATTAAAAACAACCACCAGAAGCACTGCTTTTCTTAAGGCTGACACAGTTACCTATCTTCCTGTTCATGTTCTCTACCCAAGCATTTCAGCCACTAACTTCTCCACATGAGTGCATCTTGAGTGGCAAACATGGTTTCTATCAGTAAGCCATGGCCCTGAAGTCTGATGCCAGCATCCTCAGAGGGAGCTCAGCTACCGCCTTATCTAACAGGCATGGGCTGAGACTGAGATCACCCCACAGTCCTCATGTTCCTTTACCTTCTGCCTCATTGCTTCAGTCTCTTCCGCTTTGACTTGTTTAGGTTTCTGTTTTTGAGATAGCATTTTGCTATGCATTCTTGGCTGGCCTAGAGCACACTACGTGGACCAGGCTGCCTTTGAATACTTAGTGGCCATTCTCCTTTTCTCTGCCTTCTGAGATTACAAGCATGAACATTATTAACTTCTTTTATTTGTTTGAAACAAGGTCTCACAACTTGCAGTGCTGCCAAGACTGGCTTTGAATGCCTGATCCTCCTGACTCCACCTCCCAAGTGCTAGGGTCAGCCATGTGTCACCATGCTCAGCTACCAATTTGTTAATTGGAAGATTTGTTGTTGTTTTACATTAAAAAGTTTTTACTACATTTATTTATTTTGGGGGGGGGGTCTAGGGTATACCATTTCTGCCATGTTACACATATGGCAGTCAGATTTTAAGCTGGAACAGGAGAATCCCAGATAATTAGCATGTATAAAGTAGTTTTGGAATCCTAAATGGTTAGCACACCCAAGCTTTTACTCTCAATTTCTCCCAAATGCTAGGCTATATTCACACACACACACACACACACTCTTACACACACGCACACACATACCATACTTCCAGTCGCTCCCAAGATGGCATACAGAAATGTGCACCTAAGCTTACTAATAATATAGACAGCAAACTTGAGCTGTTTGCCAAATTTGAGTCTCTGCAGGCTGAGGGCTTCCTGAGCAGGGCCAGGCCCTCAGTTCTGAGCTTGATCTCCATATGCTCTAGGACTCTCCTGCGAGAGCTGTTCCCTCACTTCCTCCCACACCTTCCAGCTAACGACAGACTAATGCTTGGCTCAGGCTGCTGTTTTGCCATGTCATTCCCACTTGAGTCAGTTTGTTTTCCAGCTGCCTGTCAAAGAGACGGGCTTACAGGGCATGCCCTGAGGTAAATATCCCCCTCCTAGTTGCTGCTTTGGGAAGCCAGCTTGCACTCTTCTCCCTGCCTCTCAGTACTCTGTTCCACCACTCGATGCTGCCCCCTCTGGAGGTTTTTTTCCCACTTCTTTCTCAAGTCCCTTTTCTTTTTTTCTTGTTTCTTCTGTCTCTCTGTGTCTGTGCACAGTGTGTGTTTACTGTCACAAAGGCACATTTTCAGACCCCTACTCCTGTGGTGACGAACACTCTGAGGGTTCCCATGGCAGGACTGGCCTTTTCCCATCAAGTGAGTTCATAATGGGAAAACGGGGATATGATCAGATGGCTTCTTTCTACTTAAAAACAAATGAAAACAGAGTACATGTTATAGTTATTTAGTCCCCAAGTGTTCTGTGGGATTATTTTAAGGCTTGGTCATTGATTTTAACAGAACATAGCCACAACCCAGCAACCAAAAATAGTGGTTTTTATTTACCCCTCTCCCTCCATTGATGTGAAAAGTACATAGAGTTATTTATATCAGATTTCCAAATAAACAGTCCATGACTGGTAATCTTTCTCTTTTTCAATATAAATAGGAGCCGTCCATACCCAGGGGTGATAGAGGTGTGATTAGAGAAGATTGTTTTAGTTTCAAATGGATCTCAAGGACGGGGAGAAAATAGGATGACTTGGGAAATATGCCCCAGGATTGGGCCCAGGGGATTTGCTGGGCTGGAAACAGGGAACTGGGGAGCCAGACACTCACTAAAGGCCTTTGGGAAGCTCTAGAGCTGGAATCCTAATCCCAGATCAAATAAGTCTCTTTTTTCCTAATTGAAAAAGGCCCGGCCCACCCTTGCCTCTCATTCCACTGGGATCTGCTCCTGACTTTCTGCTGAACTCCAGCATGGGTCACATGCTAGGATTGCCTTTCTCCTTGCCTCTCCTCTGCCCCTCTGTTTTTCTCTTGCTCAGCTCTCAAGCTCTCGCCTTTCCTATCAGCCTGCTGTCCTGGGCCTTGGATCAGCTGACCTGGCTTATCCAGTAGTGTTTACTGCTGGCTTAAACACTACACACGCTCACCAGGTACCTTTCAAGATGGGGAGGACCATGGGCTCCCAGGGCAGCCTCCTCTCCTGAGGAGCAAGAGGGAAACTTGGAGGACTTTAGTGATTTTCTAAGGGGGTGGGTCCTCAGCTTTCAGAAGGGCGACTTTGCCAGGGTTTCACTGTCTCTGCCTTTCTCCCTTTATAGTCCTCACCACACATGTCTTCTAGTAGCCACATGCCAAGAGAATTAAGGTCTATGATGGCTGCCTACCTGGTGGAGGCCTTGGTGATCGGAAATCTTATGAGGTTCACCAGCTGCTTAGCAATGGCATCGTTGACTTTGTCTTTCCATTCCCTCCAAAGCTGATGGTTCCTGGGAAGGAAGGTGGGGTACCTCTTGTTCCCAACCACCCTGCTCATGGTGCCCAGGCTGATCAGGAGAGACTTGTGATGCACATGCCTTCTGATGGGACCCACTGTGCGGCCACACCCTCAAGCAGGTGAGTTCCCACCATGGCTCTTCCACAGTTCAGGCCATCCAGGAACCTGGATACTCTTATACTTTGGTTTGACATTTTTTGTTCTCAGGCGGTAAGCCTTAAAGGTCTTTGATGAGAGTCTAATATTAAAGCTGGTATATAAGGAAACTGTCTGGGGTTTAGCTGGTAAGAGTAGCAGGGCTTTTCTCTTTTTAACATTGTATGTACATGTATGCATACACACATACAGACATACGCGCACACACAGTTATGTGTAGTTGCACCCTGACTGCAAAGTGCTTGTTCCTTCCTACTACTCTAACCACTGTCTCTGGAAAGCTTCACTGTAAGCTATCTTTCCCTGATTCCCTTGATTTGGACAGCCTTAAGATAATAAGAATAGCATGCTCTTGCCCCTGGAACTTTTTCATTGGAAAAAATGCCTGATGTAGTACTTTTTCATTGGCATAGTGGTAGGAGGGGAAATCTTTGGAAAAATTGTGTGTGCCATTCAGGAAAAGTAGTTTATTTTATTCCTTTCTTATCAGTGCTGATCCTTTTTCACCCTAACTCCAATCCCGATCAAAGGAAGATCTGTTAGTCACTGTAATGTAAAGTTTCATTCACATATGTGAACGTTTTAGTTGTTCAAGCAAGTCATCTTCTTCCAAGCCAAGAGTCAGAACAGAGGCAGCAGCCAGACTGTTCTGTGGTTTGAGAGTGAGTACCCACTTTCCTTTTCTACTTTAGTGAGGACACTGAGACTGTATCTAACAGCAGTGAAGGACGGGCCTCACCCCATGATATCTTGGAGACAATCTTTGTCCGAAAAGTGGGAGCATTTGTCAACAAACCCATCAATCAGGTGATTTCTTCTGCTACTGCCTGAGTGCCTGTGTTCTTAGAGTAAGGTCTCCTGCACAATGTCCTATAAAACTGCTGAAATTGCTTGCAAAATTTGTGTGTGTGCAAGTTTGAGGAGGATTAATAGACCTGTACTGCAATACATTGTTCCTCAGTAACTGTGACTTAGCATTCCCAGCCATAGTCCCATAATCCTCTGCTATGAACATATTTGATAGGAACAGGGAAGCAAGGAAGCCAGGATAGCATGATCGGCTTAGGCTCCAGGCTGGCGTCCTATAAGAAACATGTGCTGGGAGGAAAAGGCAGGAACACGTCTCTCTTTTATCTCTTCAGGTGACTCTGACGAGTTTGGACATACCCTTTGCCATGTTTGCTCCTAAGAATTTGGAGCTGGAGGATGCTGATCCTATGGTGAGCCCACCACTGACCACCAGTGGATGGTACAGTGGTCATCCTTCTTGGGCACTCAGTCTTCCACAGGACTTAAGCCAGGTTTTTTGGCTTATGGATTTGCAGCCAGCATTCAAATTCAACCCTTCCTTTCCCCACCACCCCCTGTTTTAAGATAGAGGCTTGTTACAAAGATAAAGCTGGCTTGGAACTCTGTGTAGCCCAGGAAAATCCAAGTTGACATTCTCCTGCCTCAGTCTCCTGAGTGCTGGAATTATAAGCATGCACCTCCATGCCCTCTTCAGCAGTATCTTTCTATCATAACTGTTAGGCAGCTCACAGTGATCTATATTCTACTCACGGAGTCTGTACTGACTCTGCCTTATTCTGAATTAGGTGAATCCCCCGGACTCCCCAGAGAACTCATCTCCCCTCCATGGCAGCCTGCACTCAGATGGCTCCAGCGGGGGCAGCAGTGGCAACACACATGACGACTTTGTTATGATTGACTTTGTAAGTTGCCATCACCACCCTTGATCTTTGCTGGTCTCTGGAGAGTAAACTTAGAAGCATCTGTTGCCTGTGAACAAGATATTTACCTCAGGATGGGATGGTATACAGGCTACAAAGGGAAACATTTGGAAGCCTGAGGTCTTTTATTGTCATGTCTTGCTTGTGGATGGGTTTTCCAAAAGCCCTTTCCTTAGGAGGAGTTTGAAGGGTCTAAGGGTCTAGGACATAAGCCTAACCAGGGGGAGGAGTGGCATCAGGACTAGCTCGTAATCCAGATAAGCAAGGTACAAAGATTCTTGCTCCCCCTTAGATGAGCCTAGAAGACACTTTTCTTGGCTAATTCCTGAAAAGGAATCTTGTGCGTAGATTAATTCTTTTATATTTTTAAAAGTTTTCATAGTTCAAAGATGAACTAACCTGAGTTTGTGTTGTTTTAAAAAGAAACCGGCTTTTTCTAAAGACGACATTCTTCCAATGGACTTGGGGACCTTTTACCGTGAATTTCAGAATCCCCCTCAGCTGAGCAGCCTCTCCATAGATTTTGGAGCTCAGTCTATGGCGGAAGACTTGGTAAGAAAACCCCTTCCCTCCCAGGGCTCCCCCTCTAGCCTCCTATCCTCATCTGATAACCACTCCTGTGCTATAGGTCTAGAACTTTCTTCCTGCTGTTCCATCCTGCCCTTTGCCTTCTGTCTTTGTTGAAAGAGGAAAGGAGTCTTTTTAGCTGGCTTTCACTCTTGGTCACATTTTCAAGTCCATGGTGCCTGGTAGTCGTCCTAAACTGCCTTGAGCTTGGTTTTCTTTTTCACAGCACTTTGAAAATACTTACTGTGGGTTTGTGCATGTGATGTGGCAGGAGGGGGTCATGTACATGCCACAACATATGTGTGGAGCTCAGATCAGAAGACTGCATTGTAGAGTTGCTGTCTCCAGCCTTTACCTGGGTTCTAAGAACCAAACTCCTGTTATTAGGAACACAAAATAAGTGCTTTTACTCAGAAGCCGCACAACCGGCTCTCTTCTGTGCTTTCTTACTGTTGCTCACACTTGCTGGGCCTGCTGTTTACTGCCAGGCTGACATCCATGTACTGGACAGAGGAACATGCTGGTCCTGAGTAAGGGTCAGCATTCTTGTCTTCCCTGGAGGGCTTCCTTCTGCATTCAGCTCTTACATGCTGGACCATATAAACAAGTCCTGAGGCAGACTTTGTTCACAATATCTCTGCAAAAGGCATTTCCTATTTCCTGCATCTGAAGAGCAGAAGAGTGCCCTGAACAAACTGCAAACTTGGGCACTTATGCTATTAGATGACAAAGTCTCACTGTCTGGGGTAAGACTGTATGCCCTGCAGAAATCTGAGGCCCCAGGAAATGCTCTTGGTTTGATTTAGCAGAAAGCCATGCCCAACAATAATGGTAAGGAGAGAACACTAAGTATTATTGGGGTGTTTGTTTGTTTTTCTCATAGAATTTCATAACCCTGGCTGCCTAAGAACTCACAATACAAACCAGGCTGGCCTCAAACCTGTCTCTGCTGGGATTCAAAGTGTGCCCCCACACCTGTCCTTAACTTAAATGGAGCTGTGTAAGCACCAAACTAACTCACATACTCTTACACACTGTCTGATTTAACTGGGAACAAACCCTGGGCCTTGCCTCTGTAAGACAAATGCTCTACCAACAGAACTGCATACCTCACCCCTACCCCATCCAGCAAAACATAGCTACAGCTAAGTGCTTCACCATGAGTCTTATAAAATAGGTGTTTATTACAGAAGGTAACACTTTTGATTGAGTGACTTGCCTATAGCAACAGCCAGAGAGGTTTGATCCTGAAGTGGGAAGCTCCTGAGCTTAGCTGGCTGATAACTGGCTTGTACTTAGAAGAAACAAGGTCCAAGGGCTCCAGTTGTGACCCTTTAGTCAGTGCTAGCTGAGGTTTGCCTTTCACCTGGGCAGTGGCTCCCAGACTTCCCTCAGGAGTCCAAGCCACTTTAGTGTCTAAAGCCACCAACTTTTCCCAGGTCCCATATGTTTAACCCTATTGTGGAAGGTCACCCTGCAGTTAAAAGCCTGCTGGTGTAGTTTCTGTTGCTTAGCCCTGATCAAGAGGCAAGCAGCCTCGAGGGAGGACCAGGTGTTGAGGACAGGCTGGCAGCATGTGATTGTCTTTTTCTTGGTTCTTTTTCACACCCCATACCTCTAGCTAGTCTACAGATTCAAGTGTCCAGACCTCCCACGGACCTGTATCAGCCTTAAAAGTTCAGTGGCTGCCTTGTCCCTATTTTCCCAGGGCCTTTTGACACCCACAACGTACAGGGGGGAGTCCCCTTTTAAAACTTCCCGGGTTCACTGAACTCTAAAGATGCAGGTTTTTTGGGGTGAGGGACACACACTGTTAATCCTAGCACTTGGGAGGCACATGCAGACAGATCTCTGAGTTTGAGGCCAGCTTGGTTTAAAGAGTGAGTTCCAAGACAGCCAGGGCTTCCCAGAAAATCCTGTCTAAAAAACAACCACACTTAAAAAAAAAAAAAAAAAAGCCATCCAGTTTGATTCTAGCGTTGTGTGTGTGTGTGTGTGTGTGTGTGTGTGTGTTTTTGTGTGTGTGTGTGTGTGTGTGTGTGTGTGTGTGTGTGTATTAATACAAAGGATATTTCATCTTTATTTTCCCATTGTCATGATTTTGGCTTTGTTTACCTATCTTATGAGTTGTGGTTCACTTGATTCATCAGGCTCCTGTGCAGCCCTGTGACATACACCACAACCCCACCCTGGACTTGTCCCTTCTCTCAGCCCACTGTCTGCTCAGTTGCCCTGCCTTTTAGTTAGCCTGGCACTGCCCAGTTCTTTTTCTTGATTTTTCCACTGAAGATTGACTGGCTGCCTCTTCAAGGCCTTCTGGAATAAGCCACTCTCCTCTGCTTGCTACAGGACTCCTTACCAGAGAAGCTGGCCGTGCATGAGAAGAATGTTCGAGAATTTGATGCCTTTGTCGAAACCCTGCAGTAAAAGTGTCCCGAGTGTCTGCAACACCCCCTTTCTGTGGACCCAGCAGAGAACCTCCTCTTCCTCAGCTGTTTCCCAGCCTTCATGCTGTTTCTGGCCAGGTGAAAGACAGGGTGGTTCCTCTATGGGACCTAGAAGTCCCTGCTCTTGGACTTCCTGGAGACTCATGGCAGCAGTCAGGCCCAGTGGCAGACTTGGGGAGGACTCTGGCTGTAGAGCTGGAAGCTGACTGTAACAGAGCCTCAGCAAGGACTGTCCTCAGCTGTTTCACAAAGGGTATCATCTGTTCTTCCTGCTACCAGCCTCCTGCCTGGGTCTACCCTGAGGTCGGGCCCTACCTGCTTGTCCACCTGACATTCCAGCTGGTGGCTAGGACACTGGGAAAGGCAGAAAGAGGAAGAAAAGCAAGGAGACCAAGCCAGGCAGAGGGCCCTGTGTCACCAGTAATTCCTGGACCACCCCTCTCTCCCTCCCTTTCTCCCCTTCCCTTCCCTCTGTCTTTACTCACTCCCTTTCTCCCGCCTTCCTTCTCCTCTCCATCTCCCACCTTCCATTCCTTGCCTTCCTGGGCCTGTGCTTTTGACAATATGACAGGCTAATCTGCCTAAAATGACAAGTATTCCAAAGTATTCCACCATCTCCCAAAGGCTGTACCAGCCTGTTTCTAGAATTCATTACTGAGAGTCACAGAAAGGTTTTTTTCCTCCTCATTTTTCCCTCCATCGCTGCTGCGTGGATTTAGAACATGGTAAATATTTATTACTTTCAGAGAAATCAGATATTTTATAGAATTAAGTATGTTTGGGGTTAGCAGTTCCACTGGGGAAGGAGGAGGGTTTCTTCTGGGATGTAGGCCTCCCATGAAGATTCCAAGGAATTTGTGCAGATGCTCTGAGGATCTTCCTGTCACATCTAAGGGAAGATCAGGAATGGGTCTCACAAGGGCAAAGTAGCCCCTTGAGCTGTGTGTATGGAACTGTGCGGGCATTAGGCTTCCCTGCACACCGCGTGTTCCTGCTGAGCGTACTCTCCTGACACAGCATCTGTAAATTGACTGGCTCTGTTCTAGCAGCCCAGGAAATCTCGGGTATGTTCAATGTGATGACTTTTCAGAGTTGTGTTGCACATGGTGCCCTAGGGAGCATTGTGTATCCTGCTGCTCGAGTCCCTGAGCCTGGAGCAGGACTAGGGAGCTCTTCCTTCCTCCCTCTAATTCCAGAGTCTGTTACACGGCCCTGGTTTACAAGCTGGATTGGTTCCCTTTTGAGAAACCAAAGCTGAGCTTATGGTTGACTTAAACCTTCAGGTATTATTGCTTGAGTAAGTCAAGTGCCTCTGCCAGCCTGCCCTGTTCCTCTGTCCCTGGATCCTCACTGGCAGCAGCTGTTATGCATTGGAGCAGGTGGCTCTCAACTGCTTGTTAGGAATCTGCATGTAACACTGGAGCCTTTCCCCTGTGCATGCTTTTGCTGCCACAGAGAAATGTGCCCAGCAGTGGTGGCCAAATGCCATTACAGCCTTTGGGTCGGGGGCATCTTCATGGCCTACTAAACCAGATTTACCGCCCCAGAGCCAGTACTGAGGGGGGTGAGGGCACAGGTTCTTTGCAGGGCTCAGCCAGTGGCCTCTGCAGACAGCAGCCTTCATGTCCCAGATTAGTAGGAAAGAGGCCAGGGAAGCTAAGCAGAGCATCCTTCAAGGTAGCCTGTGCCCTTCAGCCCTACACAGTGGAAGAGATGGGCTCTAGACCAACTGCAGCCAAGCTCAGGCTGGGACCAGGTGGCTGTGAGGCCCCTCTAGTGCTTTGTTGGGAAATGAGAGCTACACTTGGAAACATAATCAAGAGATTTCCAATAAAAAGTTTTCTGTACTTCATAGCTTCCTATTCCAAATGTGGTGACAACTAGTCCACCATTCCCACCTCTGCATCAGTGAGCCCCCGTCAGCTTTCATGAGGAGGGAAGGGTGGAGCCTGCATTTCAAAGTCGTGAGTCTCTCGGGGCTGCTTCAGTCTTGGGATTTGATCAAGTACCTAACAACCTTGGCTCTCTAGAGCCTTGTATTGTTCCCCAAGACAGGGCTATGTGTTTGAATATTCAGTGAAGAGCTCTTGTAAAATCTCCTTCGAGGGTGGGCTGCTGTTAGCAGCTTTCTATCCCTTACATGGCATACTCACCACCCTCTGCAGGATATGGCATACCCAGAGGGAAGGACAGTCGCAGAGGATGCAACAAGGACCAGTGACTGAGCAAGTGAGGGAAGTGTGGGGAGGCATGGCCTGTGCAAGTGTGTTCTCCTGACAAATTCCAGCAAGGGCAGTGGGCTCTCAGAGGAGTGCCAAAGTACAGGAGAGCCCAGCAATAATTAGGTCTGACATATACACGTGTAGGCGGTATGGCTACAAGTCTACCTCCTAGTGCACAGTGCAGAGCCAATGTATAGATAGTTCTGGATGTAAAAGTCAACTAGATAAATGTTGTATAGGCTCATTCCCCTGCCCCCCAGAGTCAAGTCCAGCCCAAGGACAACAGTGGGACCATCAGAGAATTCTAAGTCAGCCTAAGAATAGAGCTGAAGAGAATGGAGTCAGCCCACTTTGCCAGTAAAGTCTGGGTACCCTTGTAAATTGCATCTGATTCAGAACTTAATACTTGAGCACACAGCCAAACAACACAGATGTCCCAGTCTGGGTCAGAAATGGAAGTAACATCCTCGGTGAGCCACCTTTGGCTGGAGTCTCTAGGCTGCTCCATGTCCAGCAATGTGTCTGATTCTTAAAACACCCTTTGCTTGAGAGACCTTGTTGCTAAGGTTTTGTTTACTAGCACCCGAGTAACTGCAGAGGCCCTGCCAGGATCCCAACACATGTAAACAGCTCTCCCTGGCACTGGCTCGCTGTGTTACTGGATCACTGCCTCCAACATTTCCAGTGTCACCTAGCCTACAGTTGAGCATTGCTAACAAGAAATTAAATCACCAAAGCCTTGTGTCTCAAGGCATCTGAATCAAGGCCATAGTTGTGCAATCGAACTGCTTCCTTGAAACCAGTGTTTACAATCACTATCTTAACACTGCTCGAACCCATCGCGCTGGCTAGGCAGCCTCTGCCCAAAGCAGGAAAAGCAAGCCCACCCTGGGGCACCATAACCTCTTCATGGCAATAGGCAGATATCTGGAACCTGCCCTTGTCAACTGTGAAATTTGGACCTCCTCCCAGTTGCAAAACACATAAAAGTCAAATCACTACATTCAAAAGAATCACAACAGAGACCAACCTTGACTGCAGAGTGAGACAAAAACAACTCACATCTTGGGTGTGGTGGTACACACCTTTGATCCCAGCACTTGGGAGGTAAGAGTCAGACCTCTAAATTCCAGGCTCAAAACCTTTTTCCAATTTCAGGGATGAGATCTACATTCTTGCACTTAAACAGGTGTTCTGCCAGTCTGAAAGTAACCATTTTTTTGTTTGGTTGGTTGGTTGGTTGGTTTTTCGAGACAGGGTTTCTCTGTATAGCCCTGGCTGTCCTGGAACTCACTCTGTAGACCAGGCTAGCCTTGAACTCTGGAACTCAGAAATCCGCCTGCCTCTGCCTCCCAAGTGCTGGGATTAAAGGCGTGCGCCACCACCGCCCGGCTGAAAGTAACCATTTCAATCTTTTAAACCAAGCAAGGGTATGGCGTCACAGAAGCAGGCAGATCACCAAGTTCAAGGCCAGCCTGGTCTACAAAGTTACAAGACAGCCAAGGCTACACATAAAAAAAAAAAAAACCTGTCTTGAATGCTCCACCCTCACAAACAAAAGGAAAAAAAAGCAAAATCTACATAAAATAGGGAAGGAGACGCAGACTTGACGCAGACTTGACGTCCTGTGTCTTGGGTTGCAGTGGAAAGTGTCTAGCCTCCCAGACCGAGAGTTGGGACCGTGGAGGTGCAAGGGAGATGAGGAAAAGTGAACCCCGCCAGCTACCACACGAGGCCGGTGTAGCAGACATTAAGACTTTATTTCTGGTCACCAGAGGAACTTTTTTTTTTTTTTAGACATGTTTTTTCCATGTGGCCCTCTCTATCCTGGTACTAGCTTTGTAGACCAGACTGGCCTCAAACTCACAGAGATCCACCTACCTCTGCCCCAGGGGCACAAGCTACCACTTAGAGGAACCATATACATACGCACACACACACTCATTTTTTTTTTCTTTAATTGGGAACCAATCTTGAATCTTACTGGTAAGAGCAGGTAAGAGAGTCAAGATTCAAGCCTAGGGATGAGCATGGTGGTATTTGCCTTTAATCCTAGCATTCAAGTGAGCAAATCTCTGTTGAGTTTTAGGCCAGCCTGATCTGCCTAGTTTTAGGATAGCCAGGGCTACATAGCCAGATACCTTCTCAAAAACACAAAAATATTTAAACCCTACTATGACAACAGGACCCATCTCAATGCCCACCAGTCTGCTGTAGTTCTCTCCCTTTTAAGTTCCCCTCACACAATCAGCTGGGAGAAGAGGCCCTAGTCCTGAACAGCACAGGTGAGCAGCTGGAGTGCTGCAGGTACAAAAATATGGCAACTTGGTACTTCCTGACTAGAGGATGGTCAGAAGGCAGTCCCCACTCAGAATAAGGAAATGGAACAAACCATACCGTAGAGCCCTATCTTCCAGGCAAAACGGCTCTTATGTTTTTTTTTTTAATTTTACATTTATGGGTGTATGTCTGTAGAATGTGTGTGCATTGTCCACAGAGGCCAGAAGAGGGCATTGAATTGCCTGGACCTGTAGTTAAAAAGTGGCCGGGCGGTGGTGGCGCACGCCTTTAATCCCAGCACTTGGGAGGCAGAGGCAGGCGGATTTCTGAGTTTGAGGCCAGCCTGGTCTACAGAGTGAGTTCCAGGACAGCCAGGGCTATACAGAGAAACCCTGCCTCGAAGAAAAAAAAAAAAAGTTGTGCCTTGCCATGTGGATGCTAGAAACTGAACCCAGGTCCTCTGGAAGAGCACCAAGCATTTTTAACTCCCAGCCCTTACTATTTAATCAAAGCAGCTGTTACTTCATGCGTGAGACCGTCAACAAGGAAGAGCTTTAGGGCCAGGTAGACCTTCAACAAGATAGCTCAATTGGTAAAGTGTTAGCGGTGCAAGTCTGACAACCTGAGCTTGTTCCTCTGGACCTATGTAAAAGGGAGAAGGGGAAAGCAATTCACATCACACATAGGGTGTGTGTGTGTGTTCTTTTGAAATAGGGGCACAGGAGTACGTGAGGTCATTAGACCTTCAGTAGAGAGCCTACACCTGCACACTATATAGAATTCTGCCCAGCTGCATGGGCTCGTGGGTGGCAGTGACGTAAGTGCATAGGAGATGAAGAGTAACTGAAGGAGGGACCACCGTCTGCAGTTCCCACACACTGTGAGGTGTGAGTCCTGTGATACAGCTTCTTGGGGTCACTGTCCTCAAGTGGACTTGGATTTATTTATTATTTTGGATATTCATTGGTGCCTTATTTGGAGTACAGGTTTGTTCACATTTCCCCAAGAAAATTAAGCAAACAGATGGACTGAGGAGGGGACTTCTAACGCTCTTTCTCAACCACACCACACTTCCTGTCTGGTTCTGAAATTCAGGGTCTTACTTCCTAAACAGCCAGATGGGTATTTTTCATTTACATTTTTATTGAAATACAAAAAGTGCAAACGGTAAAATACATGATTGGTGCCAAGGAAATCGTGGTAAATGTGAACACTGGATTCACAGTAAGAGCGTCCCCAGCCACAGACTGACAGGGCCAGGGCAGGAGGGAAATAAGAGGTCTAAAAGGCTCAGTAAATGGAGTGTAGCAACACTTGATACAAAAATGTGGGAAAAGCAGAGTGGCCCAGGCTGGGTCAGGTGTGAGGCCAGGGGCTGACAGCAGCACTTGAGGCACCAGAGACCTGATACAACAGTGGTGCAGGAAAGCCAGTGAGGTCAGGCCCAGCCTCATCTGCAAGATGATCAGTATAGAGTCCACAGTACCATCTCTGGAACTGTCATGCCTGAGTCACACCTGTAGGATCACTGTAGAATGAAAGCTACCAATCATCACTGGGATTCAGGCTTTCTGAAAGACAAGAAGGCCTGTGGCCACCATACCTCCCTAAGGGAGTTGCTAGAACCTACCCAGCAGGGGTGATCTATTAATAGAACCTCTGGTAGTCTTAGGGGCTTCTGAGCTCCTGACTCTCCCTAGGTCCCCAGGCAGAAGGTGAGAGCCACCATGGGTCCAAGGCAGAACAGGGATCAAAGTGATTCCACAACAGAAAGACCTACCATAGCCTTTGGCTGAAGATCTGTGCACATGAGAATGAAGGGAAGGCATGGAGGCCCAGGAATGCTGTAAGTGATCCTATCAGACACTACAGCTCTCCTTGGGAGTAGACAGGACCATTTCAATAGATGCTCAGATTCTGAGTCTTGCTATCCAAGGTGCCATGAGTGGCAGAAATGAGGGAAGAGGACACTCTGGGGGCAGTACCACTTGGGGAGGAATAGACCCAGGAGGCAGAAGTGACAGGCCAACTCTGGTCTTGTCATCCCTGTTAGTAGGGCAGGCATGGGGAACTTTCACCCAGGTCAAAGCTCACTTCCTAGCAATCAGGAAAGAGAGGACCAGCCCCAGCTACCAGCACAGCCGGCAGTGATGTATTCTTCTACAATTGCCAAGGACACGGGCAGGAAAAAGGAAAAGGTTTACTGGAGCTGAATCCTAGAAGAGCCAAGCCCAGCAACCAGAGAGGCAGTGAGAGGTATAAGGCAAAGAAAATGTCTCATGATAAAAGAGGCCTCCAGGGCCAGTAAGGTGGGACAGACAGAGGGATGGGGGGGGAGGGGGTGCTCAGTTA